CGCGAAGCCTGTTACGCGATATTAGTGTGTCGAACATAACTCATTTATTGGGCGGCCACCAGTTTACAGCTCTAGTTCTATAAAATTACAAAACTTCCAAATGAGCATATTGAAGTTGACAGCTACTTAGGCAATTTAACGTAAAAAACAATTAATCGAGGCAGTTGCACAGCACATGCACACTTCCTGAAAGCAATAAGCAATCATTTTATAACGCATGCCATTACTTAACAGTTCTCGCGTTAATTGTTTGTTACAAGTAGGGTTTGCAGTCTGCCTTTTGTAGCTGTAGTTGGAAAAATACAGTGTAATTTTTCACAGTGTGCCTATCACACCTTTACTTGGGAGGCAGAGTAACGTTTTCTTGTGCGTTTTGTAGAAGCTTAAATGTAATTATAGCTACAAGTACTTTGACATAGGGTTGTTCCGGTGAACCAGTTTTTCGGTTTTAACCGGTATTTTGGCCATCACCGATTAACCGATGTTCTGTTCATAAAAACCGGTTAACCGAAATCCGGTATTTCACCGAAAATTCGGTGATTACCGTACTATCAGGTTGAGCGGGGGTTTCAGCGAATTATTCTAATATCTGTTTTCACTGTAAAGAAGAACCTCAGCCCTAGAGGAAAGTGATTTTTCTACTTTTTCACTAAGCATCGCTTTGCCTTTGCTATGGCTTTTTGTGTTCCTTTTACATGAAATCTATTTTGTTTTTAGATAACTATATTTTTTTACCTAAAAAAATCGGAATTTTTTGGGAAACCGCTTTATTTTTAAATATCGGTTAACTTATCATACCAGTAAACTGCACCGTACCGGTTAAATACCGTAAACCGATATTTCGGTGAAAAACCGGTAAATTTCCTCACCGAAAACCGTCTTTTATAATGGATTTTCTTGTATTCTTTACAACTCTTGTATGTATATTTGTTCTGCTTAGCGAAGAAACGCACTAGTACAGCACTACCTATATCCCCAGTGGGTGATGACTGCGGTGCAAGGCCGCTGCCCCGCTGCTCCGTGAAAGATTTACTGCCGAAGTTTGTGCACGCAGTTCGCGACGCCACTTAGCCACGCCCACCAAGCTAAGCTCTGTGTTTAGCAGATCGAAAAAACTGTGCCCCTGGCGGGAGTTGAACCTTTGATGAGCGGACGACCGTGTCCCCGCTATCTTTCCCTGTTGTGTAGCTCCTTTCACCCATTTGCATGGAGACCACTGAAGAGTTCATTTTGCTCGTTTTTCGGCCCTATGAGCACATGCAGTCTTATTTACTTATGAGAAAGAGGATCGGCAACACTGAACGGAGTTAAAGCTATCCTAAGGAACGGTTATTTTCGTATGGGAGGCCGTGAACCTGTTTACACTGATCAATCAGAGAAATTACTTACAAATCCGCTGCTAAGGGTGCGTGCTCGTTGGGTTGGTTAAATGCCATCTCTCATTGCAGTCAGCATAAGGCTCGGTCTGATTGGGCCAGCAATGAAGGGCAGGTCATTTGGTGTCCGCTGCGGACCAATCAAGATTGGGTATCGCTTGCAGTTGTTATTTCGATGGGACTGGCACACAAGGCTCTAGGCTAGGCGCGTGCTACGAGTACGCACACGACTAACCTCACATGCCGTTTAGAATTTGACATGCCCACGACGTTTGAAGTCTTTGACTCAGCATATCTCACCACTCTGAGAATCAATTAAAATAACGTTTAAAGTCAACTGCAAGAGCCACCCACCCTTTGTCTGGCCTTACTAAGCCAGAACCTGCTTGATCCAGTAACGTTGGACCCCAGCGGAGGATTTAATTAATTTCTTAAGTTTTAGGCGTCTACTATTAAGTGTGGTTTTGGTGGAAAACTCTTGAGAACGTTGTATCTGTTCCAAAGACATTATGCAAGGAAAGGAACAAAAGAGAAGAAGCCTTCCTGGACAGCACCTAGTTGGCTTTCTTCACTGCCATTCTGCGCGCGTCAGTGAGGGCCTTGGAAAGGTGTGTTTTGTTTTTAGCCTCGGGCGTGTTCTGTTTTAAATTTGTACCGTAGTATCCAGCCGTTTGTAGTTGTTTTAATACCAGGATACGATCCATAAATTGAATAAAACTCCTCGGAATTTGGGGATATTTCATGTAAAAGTAAGGGAAATCCCTACATTTTTCGAGGACACTTCCTCGAAATAAGAGTTTTTCAAAGTTTTCCTCTTTTTCTAAGAAAAACTCTCATGTCTCGGAGACAATATTTCGAAAACAGACTATCACTCCGGCTGACTTGTGTGTGTAGTTCGTAAGAATATTTTTTTTCGTTTTGCGACGATGTCAACTCAATACTACTTGTCAAGACCCAAACTAGAACCACTCCGGCATGCTGTGGTAGTTGACTCGACCCTATCAGTATAGCAGGCGTAAGAGAAAGGTCACCCAGCAAGCCTAGTGATTACTTCGACTTTGTTCGTTGTAATTACGTGATGGTTATAAGGATAAATACTAAATCATCGCATAATATCTTCCCACTAACCACTCTTTAATATTTCGCTATTCATTTAAAACTATTAAAAAGTGCAGTAAGGTATTTTAAATCACATGGAGAACAAAGTACCATTGAAGCCATAGAAACGACTTTGAAAGACGCGCAAGCAAAATGGGGGAGGGTGCTTTGTCTACGCGGGTCAGCCACGCATGTATAAGAACTGTGGCAGTGCTGTCATCTTCACAGTGCGGGAAGGCGTCAACGCAAGACGACATGGCACCGGTAACGTTCAGAATGGTGAGGTTTTTGCTGCCTGTGGGCTCCTTCTTTCTAGCTGCCGTTAAATCGGTCCGGAGTGAGGTGTGACCATGTAAATGCACCCAAATGGTCGTGAATCCGAAATTATTTTGCTTTTGTTTTCCTCCACCTTATTACTTGGCCGTTGGGACGGTGGGGCGAGTGCTCCTACCGCGTTGACTGGTGTGCGAGGAACGCATCCTACCGTGTCGCCACATTGCAGGCTAAGAGTGACCGCCATTTCGCATTCTTTTCACTTCGCTTATACACCCGGGCTCGGGATACAGGTCGGCCCACAGACCCCGGAATCATTTGGAGGAGCACTGTTGCGCACGCAGCCTTGCGGCTAGGGTTTGCCGATTGTGAGGACGCTGCCTTACGGCGCTGATCGGATAGGCCACCCACGCACACGCCTGTGTGCGGTGACATTACGAAAGTGTGATCCTGTGTCTGTGGACCACACGGTACTGTGCATAACTCGGCTCTTTAAAAAGCAAACCTTTGCGCCTTCCTCACAGTGTGTGCTGCTGGCGCTACTCGCGGCGGCCGTGTCCGGGACCAGCCACGACCCCTTGGCGCCATCCAAGGGGTACGTGTACGACGTGCCGGCTGACACGCCGCAGCCAGCCCTGCTGCCGGCGCTCTCTGCGTCATCCAGGGGGTTCTCCTACCCCGACGGCTACTCCTATGTGTACGCAGTGCAGCACCCAGACTCCGAGTCCAACTCGCGGGTGGAGGTGACGCGGTTCTCTTCCGGCAGTGGGAGAGCTCTGTCTGCTCCCATCGGCATCCCCTCGAGCCTCCCGCCCCAAGGAAGCCTGCTCGCCGTCCAGCCCGTGCCGCCGCTGCCCTCCCTGCCTTCCTGGCCGGCCCAGGTCGAGCAGGGCCCGCGAGTCGCTCTTGAGTTGCTCCAGCCTGGACTTCGCCACGCCACGTACTCGTACGCCCTGGGCGCGGGCTCACCCCTAGCCGCCCCCCTCCTCCTGGGCGCGCCGTACGAGTCCTCGCTGTTGACCCCGCCACCCGTGCGGTCTGCCGCACCCTACCCCTCGTACTTTTACCCTGCTTAACGGAGCCTATTTTAAGCGTCACAACTTCTACCCTCGAGCGTTTTTCCACGAACCTGACACATACAGAGGCGTGGTTGTGTAGGGATATATTCTACATTTTGCTGACGGCGGCCACCGTAGTTTCTGATCTTCTGTAAAAGACGAGAAATAAGTCAAATTTAATGTACCTCTGGTAATTTTTTGCGTGGTCTTATCTTGGCTGGCGCAGACGACGAGCACGCTGCCCGGAACGCACAGTAGCTGCACGGTATTATTGTTCTTAAATTAACTAAACCGTTGGCCGCGGTACATTGTGTTTTATCTCTTGAACCGTCGACACTGTCCTTTTTGCCAAGGAGAAGCCTGTGTTTGTTTATATACATTCCCTTTGCTTTAGTTTTCTGTGTTTTTGCAAAAATAAATAATTGTGAAGCCACCGCAAACATGCCGTCCACAATCCATCGTGTGTGTGTGTGTGTATGTACGCGTGTGTGTGTGTGTGTGTGTGTGTGTGTGTGCATGCCAGACACCCTGCTCCAGTGCCGGCCCGCCCGGGCTCACAGCCACGCCACCTGACCTTGCCGTTGCGTCAGGGCCACATGCTACCGGTTGCTTTTTGCACATACAGCGTGCCCTGCGGGTGTCCTTTCAGGCCGGTTCCCTCAGTCCCTTCAGCTTGTTTACATGGAAGCAGCAGTGCCTGCCTAAGGGTCGTACGGGCCGTCCAGTCGTGGTCCGGCCGGCGGGGCGGGCGGGGCGGGCGGGGCGGGCGGGGCGGGCCCTCAGCGAGACCTGCTTCTTTCTTTTATTCCGGTCCTGTCTGGGACTGGGGCTTGTCCTGTCCGGCGCAGCCGTGTGGCGTGCATGGCGTGCAATAGCAAGTCCCACTAATGCTTGCCCAAATGGGCGAAGAGTACCACAACTCCCAGTTCTATTTATTTCCCCTGCTTTTCATTTAAGTTTTCGTGGAAGACTGCACTGCTTTGCTACTTTGCTGAGAATCTAAATGCCCAAATGTCGCACACCTAGGTAGAGCGTATAAACGACAGTTTGTTTGCACTGGTGCAGGTTTGCAAATGGACATTATTGTGTGCGACCGAACACCGACTCGCACACTTACAAACTAACTATGGCGCCATAGTAATAGTGCACGTTCAATAGTTCACGTTATTGGTCATCGCTCACATGCATCAAGTTGTCGCGTATCTACAACAGTGTGAGTTTTGTTTCTGTTCATGTGAGCGGTATTCGTAGGCTAAGACTTCAAATGCAGTGATAGGGACGGTCTTTATTTCTGGCCTGGCCTTAAATACCACCAAAATCTTGTGTGATAAAACCACCATTTTCCGGGATGGACGAAATGTCCCTTCATGACAAGTGAATGAACTCAACACAGAGCGACGGTGCGGTCGAAGGCGATGCTGTGTACCTCGCCTTCGTATTCGCTTTGCGGTTCCTTGTCGAAGCCACAGTTTATTAGGGGACCGCAAAACCACAGCTGGGCAGGAGCTGTAGGAACACCCCCACCTTCTGCTCGCTGCACAGCTCTCGCGGATCAGACACGCCAGATTAATGGACACGGTTTTGTCTTTAGCGTAAGATGAAAAGTCTGGCGGCAATGTGTGTTCTTTACGACCTGAGCAGCAACAAGCGAGAAAAGGATTGGAACGGTGTGCGATGCCGAGATATCAGCGGCCCCGATGTAATTCGATTACATAGCCTCACACAAGTCTAGTAATCTGGGTGTAAAGCACGGGGGCAACTTTGCTTAGACCGGCTAAGACATTGCTTTCCTTAATCCTCTTGTTGACGTAAATTTTAAGCACAGCTTATGACGACAACGATTACTTCAAATCGAAGGAAATGGAACACGGTTGCAAATTACCCCCATATACACGAGAAACATTCTTCAACGAATTCCATATTGGTGTACACTGTGAAAACAAATGTTTGTAAGTGCGGTATATTTTTTAGTTTCCTTTTTCCAAATTTGATTTAGATGATTGAGGTAAGACGGAGGTGCGCCGTGCTGCTGGGTTCTGCTCCTGGGGCGCCTGAGCCCTTTGGGTAAGCAAACCCACCTGCACCGGCGTCTTCTATGAATCGCCCCTTATGTACAACATCCCACTCTTGCTCGTCATCCGATTTCACGTCAATACGCCGGGCTTAAAAAATTTACAATTTTGAATAGCAACTGAACGACATCTTCCATGGAACATCTTGTTGACCCAGTACGTCAAATTTTCACTGTGATAATAGGAACATCAAGTGTACTTAAACCATAGTTTAATTCATTTGATGTGTTTCATTTGGTTTGATGGCGGAAGTATCGTAAGCCACGCTAAGCTGCGGCGCAGCTGCTGAGCGAAATAAATATGGGTCAAGGCCACACTGGCGCACCACGCATCCAGCAGACGTTTGAATTCCTCCGCTCGAGGAGCCGGTCCGCCGCGCTGTGCCACGCCCCCGCGTCAGCCGGGTGGCAGTCGGGCGGCAGCCGGGCGGCAGCGATGCAGCAAAGCGATACACATTTGGACAAGCCGCTGCGAGTTTTTGTGTTGAGATAGGCGGCCACGCCCCGCCACGCCCCAAAAAGCGGTGGCCATGGTGGCCATAGCGTGGCGTGGCGTGAGGGCGGGCGTTAGTGCAGGTCCAGCACACTCTAAAACTCTTACGATAAAGCGTATCGTAACTGACGGCTAATTCTGAACCTAAATAATAAACAACGAGGTTCTAACTGTACTACAAATCGTGCTGCAAAGAAATGTCTTCGTGTTACACACAACTTGTCAGTTTGCACCTACGCGGAAATCAAAATGTTAAGTCTGTCGTTATAAAGCGGCAATATGTCTGTAGTACAAAGACTTAACACTATAGAGTAGTTGGCGTTTTTTAATGCCAAAATATTGGCGTTCTCTGACGAATGCCAAATATATCTGTCCAATATATTGGCGTTCAAAGACGCCAAATGCCCGAAGGACGTCAAAATTTGGCGTTCAAAGACGCCAATAGTTGGCGTGCTAGGAAGAAGAACACCAATATTTGTCGTTCTTTGGAGGACGCCAATAATTTTTGTGTTAAAAGACGCCAGCCAGTTGACAGTATTTCCTTTATATTACGAACATATCTGTTCATGTTGCTAATAAAACTTTGTTTTTATTTTGTCGGTTTGAAACGAAGAACCTCGTTGCAAGATTTGTACACTGCTCGGTAACGATGGGCAGCCCTGCACGTCCTTTAAAGTGCACAGCACCCATACCTCTATTGTTTGCCTCGCATCACTTGCATGGCCACCAGCATGTGTCAGTTTGTTATCGATAATTGCTGTTGATGGGTTGCCATAGAGGAGGTGTTGGGTCCACTACACCATACCTGAAGCTTCCGCACTCTCTCCGCGCTGTTTAATGTGTAACCACACTTGTAGGTGTTCTCCCAGACCGTGCATTTTTTGTAAGCGAAAATACATAAAAATTTTCATTTTTTTTATGCACTATCCCGTGAAGTGCGGCCAACTGGTGGTACTGGCCATTCCTTCGCAGTTACTAAATATTCAAGGTTTCTCGTTGCCACTTTCATACTTTTCTTCACCTGACATCTTAGCTTAGTGCCCACTAGCAAAAGTGAAAAGGGGAATCTTCAAATTTATCCTCTTAAAGGAGTTAAAGAAAAACATTTCAATAAACTTTGCTTTGAAAATAACACAGCTTTGTGAAAGTCAGTCATGGCACTGATTTGATTTACGTGCTTTCATGTCCGCCAGTTCGCCTTGTTGGTTTGACATGTATTGTACACTATCCCGTTTTGGTTTTGTTTCGAAGCCGTGCGGTGTATACTCCGTGCGCTGGCTGGAGAGTACAGACGCATGGAATACTCCCTGCTCGCTGTACACCTGGCTGGACTCTTCAAAGTCCGTAGTATATCCGCCAGGTCGCGCCACTGTTAGCAGAACGAGCTTAACCTGGGCGTGGCCTCTTGCCTTCGTGTTGTCTTATTTTGTGGGAGATACAGCTGCTTGTGGCTCCCTGTCCGCACCAGTTGGTGGAAACAGCCGGGAGGTCCACCAGTTTTGTCAAGTTAAGGTTTTAGCGTCTAGTTTGGGTCCGAGTCTTGGTATACATACTACTGAAACACAAGCTCTGCTTCTCGCCTCACATTTATTCATTTGTACAAACTGACGAATAAAAGCAAGTCCTTTCCAGTGTCTTCCGTGGAGCCGGCTAGTAAGAGTAGCTATGGTACGGCGTGGATACAGACGTGTGTACACCGGAGGCACCCGTTATATGATTAGACAGCGGCCCGGTGAACGGTGCGGGGGCGTAGCGAGCCACGGGGGTGGAGGCGACGGCCACGGGCTGGACGGAGTAGGAGAACCGGGGGCTGCTGTACCTGCTCGAGCACAGAATAGTATCCAAAATTAGAAAGGAAAGAGGGGACAATCTAAGATTATGTAAAATTTCATTTGAGTTGCAAATTTATCGAAATTCTCTACCCAAGACCAAGAGGTACTCAACGCTCTTTGGTTTCAGGTATCATTGTAACCTTACAAAACTAATTTGCAAAATTTCGTCGATTTCCGAAACACTTGAGTCCCCAAGGCTGACCGTTCTTTAATTAGAATGAATCGTTTTATCCCATCTTTTACCCCCATGGCGCCTCATAGATAGGCAACATATAGTCTGCATTGCATACGAGCACCGCGGGTCGGCCTACCCTGAGTTTCGCAGGCGTTAAGCTCCCGTAATTTTCCGATTGGATCCGAGAAAAACGAACGTGTTTTCTGGGCAATTCCTCTCGCGTTCTGAAGTCTTTCGCGAGGACAAATTCCATCACACTTCCCCTGTGAGAGATTGCTTAGAAACCGTCGAGATTGAATTATTTGAGGTCACTACATACTGTACGAAGGGGGCGCCTCGGACGAAGCTGGGGGGCGCTGCAGTGATGACGGGCGGTACGACGGCGCGCGCCACCACGGCCGGAGCGGCCCTCACGACGGCGGGGGTGGTGGCGTGCACCAGGGAGGGCGTTCCCTCGCGGCGCACCACTGCGTTGAAGCCGTGGATGGCGTCAGCCGTGTAGTCCACGATGCGCCTGGTGCCGTCGGCGTCGACCACTGAGTACTGGCCCTGGTCAGAATGGTTGAAGATTAGGAGCGTGTGGAATTTTCTTTCTCCAGTAATTTTTATTGTTTTTTTCTCCTCGTTGTATGAATATTCCGTTTACCTGCACAACGTCGCCATTCCTGGTCTCCGACTGGCTCTTTGAGTCACCTGTTACGGCGTCCTGGATGCTGTAGCTGTAGCTGTACTGAGGATTGGGGTCGAAGGGCTCCGGCTCCTGGCCGACCGGAAGTAGAGGTCCAGCGCGCACCAGCCCGAGCACCACACAGCAGCATGCGACCTGTTGAACCAATACAGAATAGGAGCTATTTTACTGAGGAGGTGGCGTTGCCCTTTTAGTGTTCAGTTATTATTGACGCCTGGGTTTCAAGAAAATTGACTTTGCGTTTGAAGCACTCATTTCACAGTGCTAGTCGTATGTGTTTATACACATTTTCTTGACCATTCGTCCATTATCGACTATCTGCGATTTCAGAACAAGCTCTCTCTCTACATATCTCCTGATTTGAAGAAAATCTCTGACAAAATGCTTCACAAGGAATAATTTCGTAAGGTTACGTACTTATTTCATAACGATCAAAACTATGGTAAGATTTCGAATTTAAATCACACTAACTGGATTTTTACTTTTATTCGCACGTGAAATTTATTATTTTTGCACACATTTCTGCTTTAATTTGAACTTGTTAATGCATTCTTTGAACGAAATCATGCATTTTCCACTCAAATTCGTATAGAACGAAACGTAGGTTTACTTTATCGTGAACATTTGCACAAAAACATAGAAATACATTTAGCGTGCAGGTACTACACAAAAAACCTAAGACAATTCAGATTCAAATCTTTCCTTTTTGAAATTGAGTGTTTATTTATCTTTACGAATTCTGTTATGCAAGCAAACTGTTTGCACATTGTTAATCGGAACACGTCTTTGCATTCGTGACACTGGAAACGCAAGTGCGTGAATGTCGCTCACTTGTAGGTCGCTCACTAGGAAAAATTCACACGTTTACCCCCCGTAAGTGTACGAATGGATATTTGCTCACCTACAAGTGAGCGACATTCACACACTTGCGTTTCCAGTGTAGAACGAATTCATGCATTATCGCGCAAAAGTCAGTCGGACATGTTAAACTTAACTTTGTAGTTAGTGTCTCGGTTATTGCAAATCAATTCGTAAAAACAAACGATTGTTTCGAAAAAAATATACCCCCCCCCCTCAACAAAAAGTATAGAAAATAAATCGTAAAATCACGATAAATTCTGTAGCATTTAACTAGGGAAGGAAAGAAAACGCTTTTTTCAAAAAATCAAACGAAAAAATTAACTGATTTAAAGAGCGTTCTTATCCAAAAACGCAGGTGTTTTAATGGTTATTCATCTGTTGAACAGCCTCGATAAGCTTGTTCGCTTGCATGAAGTGTGTTAAACGGTCTGCATGAAACAAAAACGCCCCCTTTAAAAGTTCTTTCATGTTTTTCAAAAATAAAGATCAAAAAGCACTTAGTATTACCAGAAGGAGAAATAGATATCATAACACAATCAGCGGTTAACAGCTGATTTGTTCAGATTGTCCAGTAACGTAACTTAGCTCCTGAGGTATTGCACATATAAGTTGGTACTATGATGCATAATAACAAAGATAGATAAAGACTCCTGCGAAAATAAAATATTTTACTCTCGCCCTCCTCCTATATTCCATCACTACCCACTAATAGTAGAATTTAGTCATGAAACTGCAGAATAGTATTTTCCTGGAGGGCAGAGCCGGCAAGTAGGGAACTTTCTATTTCGGTTTGGATCGACTGGCGCTGCCTACCAGCCATTTTCGCAAAGCAAGGTTTAGGGCCGGAAGGTATTGTTGGGCAGTAGCGTCAAGTCACGTAAAACATGCCTTTTCGTGATATTAGGCCCCACAGCTTCAAAAAACGTCCTTTTTCCCAATTTTTCGATATTTTCCAAGGGCCTCAGAAAAAAAACGAGAAAAGCAGTTTTTTTTTCATGGTATTTTCCTTGTTTTTCTTTTCCGGTGTCATCTCCTACAGTTAACACACGCACACACACACTTGTCACTTGCACACTTAAAAATTGCACACGTAGAACCGAACCTTAAGGAGAGCCATAATAGTAGAAACCGTGTTACTAAAGGACGTTTGTCGTTGGAAAAAGTGCACTGACTGGTGACTGTGAGCCTCCTGTCGGCTTATATATGAGAAGAAGACCCTCGAGAGGTGCAGGTGGCTCAGGGGGGCAGGGGCGCTGCTATTGTGCGCCCCACCGAACGGAGCCGCACCCTAGTGGGCGGCCTGCGTGTCGCATCCTCTGGGAAGAAAGGGAAGGGAGACGTAGAAAATCGCTAATGTGGTGAAAGAATAACGATACAAAGGTCATATTACAGTCGAGTCGATGTGAGTTCGGGCCAATCACAACATTTTTGGGTGGAGTTTAGAGGGTATACAGAATGAATTTTACTCTTTTTTTATCTGCCAATTATTTCTCGTTTAATCTGGCAACAACTTCGAAGTCCATAGTGTCAAAAAAGAATTTTCATAAAATTAAAAATCTACTTTGTTTTTGAAAAGGCTAGAAGGCTATGAATGCGGTGTGGGTATGGAGGTGCGAGTGCGAGAGAGCAGGATATTCGTGGGCTTGCATATTACTGCAGCCATTGTGTGACTCAGGACTGCAGCTGCAGAGTCATTAAGAAAGAAAGATTATTTTCATTTTAGAATGGTTGGTTAGTTACATTATGATCGGACGACACTGTCCGCTGAAGTTCTATGACGGGTGGCAGTTAGCCGTGGGATACTTCACTGCAATTATAGCAACAAATGCAACAGTCAGAACCCAGCAGTAGTGAGTAGTGTCAATAAGATGCCCAACTGTAGTCTTCTTTCACGATTGAATGGCTGCTGTGCCATAGCTTACTCGGAACGAGACGATCACGATATAGGGTAACTTTGAGTCTGGCCAATTTGGCACTTGGCTTTCGAAGTGGGTTCGCGAGGCGGGGCCATGACACAGTCTGCTGGTCGTGATTATCCGGGGCGGGCAGCCTCATCTTACACGCGGGCATTGTCTTCTGTATATAGGAGGATGGCCGCTAAATCATCACACCAGAGATGACACCATAGCATTGCACCCGATTGTTTGTTTAACGTTATTAAAATACATACCTCTAGTACTTGGTCCCGAAACTGAGTGTGATGTCTCTTCATTGGCTATGTATATCAATAAAACATTTATAAATGCATCCATAGTATATGCTTTTCCAATTTCAGATTAAGGGCATACTAAACTGCAAATTCGGGAAATTGAATAATTTAGTGTATGAAAACTATGAACATTGAATTAGGTGAAAGAAACTAAAACTGGGATTCAAAATGGTTGCTGTACTACCCTATAGCTTTTATTTTTAGCTTTCTTATGGATAAATCTAACAAAAAGTAAAGTATCCAGAGATTTGGAAAACTGCTTTTTCAAATTTACGTTACTTTTCAAAACAATACGCAGAATTTTCGCATCTAGTCAAGCCTAAATGAATAGTAAGTCATACGCACCATAAACACACTAAATGTGCAGCTTTTGCAAATTTTCTTTGTTCTTCAACATTTTAATGTGAGTTGGTAAATTTTAAACATTTGTTTTAGAAAAAAAAGACTGTTATTTACATCCTCAACTGTGTTCACACAAAAAACATGTTATTTCTTTTAAAATGACTTTATCGTAAAAGAGATTGCAGTAAAATCAGATCAGAAAATCTTTTTTCTGCAACATCTAGCTATTTGTTTTTCGCTGAATTTCGAACTTGAGGGGACAGATTTCCTTAAACACTAAATGGCGAGGGACAATCTTTGTATAGGCTTATGTGTCTTTGCGTACATCTTAATCAGATACAAGTTTGTATTTAAGCTTTACAAATAAAGCATTTGTACATAGTCTAGGCACAACCTCCGCGCAGACGACTTTTTATCCGTTGAAGATGTGCGCAAGGACACATCTAGCCTAGGTACAAAAATTGCCCCTCCCCATTTAGAGTGTTTTAGCAGCGGTCGCTCGACGTTTTTGTTTCAGCTCATAAACAATGGATTAATTAATGATACTCGCCGGTGGGCTGTAATGTCCCGCACAGACTTCAATTTTCGGCACCAAGGGTAGGCCAGTAGGCCGTGAGGTGACTCAGCACACACTCAAGCTGATGTCACTGCCTCACGGTGAGACTTCTGCACGTGAGTCTGTATAACACCAGAGAACCAAACAGGCAAAGATGATAACTGGTTGATGAACCACGTCAGTTCTGTTACCTAAGCTCACTGTTAAGTTTCCTACGAAGCAATGATTTGCAATTTCAAAGCATTGCTTCGTAAGATTGTAACAGTGTTTACCTTGCCGGAGCACAATATACATAATCATTGTTTATTTTACGACCGTAACACTCTGTACTATACAACTCGCCCTGGTGTTACGAAGTGATACAAATAATGTAATACCGAAAAATTAGAAATGCCATCAATATCTGAATTTTTCATGTAATACTGGTGAAATAGCCAGTTATTCCCAAGCAATATGCAGAATAATACCTAGTACTCAGTACTCGTTGCCAGGTAGCGATACTCCCTCGTTTACGAATTATAAAAGAAAATAGACATTTGAAGGGGAAGACGGGGGAAGTCAAAATGTTCCAGCTCGTCCCTGATGCCGTTGGCCCAACACACACGCGTGGGTCGTGCCCATGGGGTGCCACCCAAACGCACCCAGCAGCACTGCGGCGGCGCCATTGTGCGGCCTGTCAGCACGTCTCTCTGTGATGGTTTTTGTGTTGGAATACCGGAGTGTTTTGTTGTCGCACTTAAAATATTGCGGTGGTCGACAACTAGCTATGCTTGTAGCATTTCCACCCTTTTTCGCCCGTCTTAGGGGTGACGAGTCCGTTATTACGTTCTTTTTCTCATCTCACATTATTCTCGCGGCGGATCTCGGTGGCTTGGCTCGGCAGGCGTGCGCGCGACCACGTCCCTCCAAACACATTGCCATTGGCTCCGGGCTGGCCACGCCACTTCGGGCGTCGCCCGCCTTAGTCGGTCCTGCCGCTCGAAACAGGAAGAAATGAAGCTGATGGAACGGGTGAGAGATCAACCCCGCCTGCAGCTTCCTTAGTCTCGCTCGCTCGCACCCCGTCAGCTTTCGGCCCGCAGCGCCTGCCGTACGGGCGGTGTGAACTATTTCAAGGCTCGTCCATCCGCCTTCGACAGCCAGGTGTTATTTGAATGACGGTATCGCTACACGTGAAATAGCACGAAGAGAAAAACGCCAATGACTCTACATTCGAACTACAACAAAGTACACTCTTCAGCCTTATGCATTTTGTTGTGCATAAACATACATAATTTTATGCAGCCATGTTGCAATAATTAACAAATAATTAGTTAATAACTGTCTGCACTAATGCCACACCTTGCAATTCCTCTCCAGTGCTCCACTGGAGTGAGCACACAAAAATAAAAACTTCACTTCCGCTCCAGCATCTGTCGTGCTCACTTCGTTGACGTTTCGTCCTAATTATCGAATTACATCAGACTTTAAAATTCATTCATATAAGTATGCAGTGTTTATGATAATTGTACACAAATTGTACACAATTATGCATGGATTTTACATTGTCATGTATTAAATTGTGCATAAACTTATGGCTGCGTAAGATTCTGCATGCTTATGCACAACAATATACGTACACTAATAAACTGAGTGTGCAACTGCTCAATACTTGTTAGTCACTTGTTAGTGTGCAGCTGCAAGTTAAATAATTGCAAGTTTGCAACTCATCGGTTAAGCACTTCCTACACAGTGCGTACAGAGCGTTCTATCTAGGAAGGGTTCGACCGAGAATTTCCTCACTTGTAATTGCACACCTACCGAGTTGAACACTTGTAAGTGTAGGACTACGCAGTTGCACACTTACAACTATTTAACTTGCAGTTGCTCACTTACAAGCTTTGAGCAGTTGCACGCTTAGTTTATCAGTGTAAGTGTTTAGTGTGTCAATCTAAAGTAGTTTAGTGTGTGTTACAACTCCTACACAGTCGGTTAAGAAGCATGTTTGCAGTTTACGTTTGATTTAAACGTATACGCGCGCATTGATGAAAAAGGAACACACTAATACGACATAATTCCATTATTTTACAATACCGCCAACTTTTTGTGTTGTCGGTTGGTTACTTACAAACATATACACAATACGAGGGGGCAATAACTCCCTTTTGAAGTGTACACATGATTCCCGAAATACTTGATTCCCAGTGATTCCCGCCAGCTAATATTTATTTCTCTGGTTTTCTAGTGGTAGAAAACGCTTATTTCGACTAATTTGTACCGGTACTGCTAGTTTCCTGCTCAGTTTAAACGATTTCCGACGATTTCTGTTGATTTCGATCAATTTTTATAGTGATGATTCCCAGGCAGGTGTACACATGATTCCCGGAGTTCTTGCCCCCTCGACACAATAATTAACCAAATATTCTGTAATTCCTGCTGCACAAAAGGTTGGTACCTACTAATAAGAAATAAATCAGTTGCGGTCTGAAAATGTAAACATGCATATTTAAGTGAAAGTGATTGTGATTATGTACTCCTTGCTTCAACTTCAACGGTTATCGACTTCCTATTCAACTGAAGCAGAAACGAAAAGCGATCCACCGCCACCCAGTCCCTGTGTGCTTTCGCCGCAGTCTGCACTTAGGCTTCAGCTTCGTTTAAACAATTAAATACAATCCGCCAACGCAATGTTTTTAGGAACATAAACCTTCCAGGTTTGTGGGGGCAATGTCCGTCCAGCGTGGCAGCGGCCGGCCGCGCCAGAGGTCACGACATTGATTTTGTTTTTCTTCTCATCCGCTCTCGCCTAACACGTCGGCATCAACAACACGCCAAAGTATTGGGCTAATCAAGGAAAACAAACCGAGGATTACGTTTCACGTTGCACCCCTGTCGTGTCAAAGGTTACAAAATTTCAACGCGGATACTGTGATTGACTTTGAAAAATGCCGCCGTCGAATGAGTTCCCGATCTTTTTCTTACCTTAAACTTACGCCTGTCATAATTATCACTCGCTAAATTATAAAACAGGGCAACATATTTCCATTTCGAGTTTATTTTCCGAAGCTTGCGCAGCTTTATCAGCAAACCGAGAACTGGAGAGCAGCAGCGCGCGGGAAAACGAATGCTGTGGGTGAATGGCTCTTTAGGCTCGGCTCTGCTCGGCTCTGTTCGGCGGGTCGACCTTGGAGTGGCCGCGGCGGGACATCGCCTCACTCGCCGAGCGGCGGCCTCCGGCGGTGGACGTTCCGCTGGCCTGTCGTGTGCCGCGCACCGCCCAGCTGACCCGCAAGGACGGCAGGAAGGGGCGCCGCTAGCGCTAGCGCAGCGCCACCTCCGGGGGGCGCCCCCACCACACCAACCCCGCAGCGGTGCTCAGTCGCGAGGGAGACGCTCGTCGCGCCGCATCGTCCTGGATGAAGACAGACCACACCCGGCTAGGTGAAAGTGCGACCCGTCCCCCATCCTGTGTTGTTGGTTTTCGCCGATTTTTCGCTCGAGTGTCGCGACTGCGCGTTCGTCGAGTGTGTTCCAAGGACTCTGGTGGCACACAACGATAATGCGACGGCGGAGCACAGCAGGCTGACATGGAGCTGGAAGGAGCCGGCGCCAGGCGCTACCGGCCGCTGCACAGAACGCCGCCCGAGTACCAGACCGTCATCAAGGTGAGCGACTGTGTGTGTGTGTGCGTGAGTGTGTGGGGCTGAGTGGTCGGTAGGGATACTAGCGGCGAACGGCTCCTATTTCTCGCTCGAGAGTCATTTTGGGCGGTCACGCTGATTAGCTGAGTGTCTGTCCTGCGGAAAAAAGGAGCTGTCGTAAGTAGAACTTTATTCGTTCGCATCGTGTCCCTGTTGTCTTTGCTACGCTTATACAGGGTGATCCACAGACCCCGTCCTTTGTTTTGCTTATACTGTATCGGATGAAGGCTTGCCTACCATAGCTCACCGTTGTGCCTTATGGCCCCGTGCGAGTATGCAACCGGGTCGCACGCCTGCATCCGGTACAGTATAAGCAAAACAAGGGAAAGCGTCTGAACACCCTCATTACTGGTCTATTTTTCCCACCAATGCATGTTGCTTAGGACTGTACCCTCAGTGACAGAAAGCCAAAGTGCAAATATTAGTCGATAGCTGCTGGCAACGTGGGAGGGATATGGTAAATTGTTCTTTTTGGTCTGAATGTAAGGGGTATACATCGAAACAGTTTACGATCAGAATATTAACACATCTTTTTACGGTTCCAACGTGAATAAAAACACTTGCTCTTAAAAACATTATCAAAGTGCGGCTCACGCTTATTGCGTCCGGTTGCTGCGTACAGTAATATGTGCGTCTGGCCAACCGTTTTTTTGTTTGTTTTTTTGTTTTGGAGTTCTACCTGACTTAAAAACCTTCACGGTTGTTGCCCTATGCTCCAGCGGGCTTCGACCTCTCGTCTGATCGTGCAGCCGGGACGGTCTCGTTAATTTGTTACAAATAATAAGTGGCGAATGCCCTGCTTTGGGAGTATTGTCAGTTGTTTCTATGCAGGCGTGTGATAATTATTTTTCTCTTTCGCGATCGTTTGCACGGAATGAGGAACAGGCAGACTGGTGCGAGGCGGCCGGAGGCGGCGAGGTGCTGACCTTGGCGGCCGGCCGGCCGCCTGCCAGTGCCGCCGGTGCTGTAGCTTATTCGTGAGCTATTTGGACGACGTGTGCAGGAAGCCGACCACAGTAATCGCGAGACTTGTGGTCTTTCTCGCACACACTGTAGATGGGCCAAAAAAGTGAATGTGTTACTGCTTGTGGTTATGGTCGTTAGCCGTATAGTTTGCAGTGGTGATCAATAGTAATAGAAGTGACAAACAGCAGTGTGAGTTTGAGTGTGTGGCTAATATGAAGTGTGTTACCTGCTTGTTAACTTGTACGTGCGAACCAAATCTGGCTACTGTATTGTACCAGGACCGATCGTTGCACGCGGAAGTCCTGAGCATGGTAACGATACACTTCCCACGTTTCCTTTTAGAGTGCTGACATTTTCAATGTTGATTCCAGTTTCTGCTGATGGCGAGTATCCTCGACACGGTGTGGGTGAGTGGCCCGCCGCGCTCGGGAAGCCCGTGCGGACTGGTGGGCGGTGAGGCCGGCGCCCCGGCCGGTCAGCGGCCTGGTCAGCGCCCTGGTCAGCGCCCTGGTCAGCGGCCCTCCCCGGGGACGCCCTCCGGCCCCCCGACTCTGCCGCCTGAGGTTCAGGAGGCTCTCCGCAGGCTCAACATTTCGGCCGAGGACTGTGCGCGCCGTCCGGACGCACTGCGCATGACTGGGGTCGCACCGGCTGCCACCCGCGTCCTCAGTGTTCTCTTGTTCAACGCCTTCGTCTTCTGGTCAGACTTTGGCGCCGCCCTCGTTGGGGGCGGCGCGGGTGTCGACAGGAAGAGCAGCCCTACGCCGGCCCCCGGGGCATGGGTTCCTGCTCCCGACGAGAGCGACAGGACTCCTTGGGCCAGTGATGTGGCCGTGGAGGCGTGGACGACAGGCTCCACGGCCGCCTTCGGACGGGCGGCCTCCAGCGACTGTGTTTCGGCCACCATTGATGCGTGCAGCAGGCCGGCCTCGTGGAGCACCAGCAACAACACCTCTGTGGGGAGGCTGTGCGCGGCCGTGCTGAGGAGCGCTGGCGTGGTCAAGAGCACCACCCCGGAACCAAGCCACGAGATACAGGACGTGCAGGTGCCGTGGCCGGTGCAGCTGTTTTACATTGTGATGCTAGTGGTGATGATTGTCGGCATGCCCTGCTGCCCAGCCGTGTTCGAAAACGCTTGCACCTTTCTCATGTGCTGAAGGTGAGGGAAGAACTGCTGGTAGGTTGAAGTCCCTCCATCCCCTTCTTCCTGCAAATGCCAGTTTTGGTGTGCGTTATGAATTCGTGCATGTAAGGATCGAGCGGTAGATAACTCCTGAATTGCGTGTACAAATTTCATAAATTGAATTTGAATTAGCTGTAATTGAATTTGAATTCGACTGAATTGGTTGCAATGTTTTTGAATTAGAGTGTGTACATTCGCAGGTACACACACGCGTGCATGCCGGATGTCTCATACTCTATAAAACTGTCACGGAAAAATAGTGTTCATAATATGAGCGCAACTGTTCGTATTATAAATCTCACGTTTATATTGTGAAGAATTCTGCTGTGCTGTCATTATAGTACGAACACAATTTGTTCATTGTACGAATCCTCTCGTTCGTAATATACAATTGATTTTCGGATTCGTACGTTATGAACGGAAAACTGGTTGCTTAGTAAGGTACTGATCCCAAAATCGTTCGCAATAAGCACGAGAAGCTTCATATTACGAACGCGAGGATTCTTAATACGAACGTGTTGTGTTCGTATTATGACAGCACGCAAATTTGTCATATTATGAACATGACGTTCATGATACGAACAATGTCCACACTAAACCCTTATGCATTTTGCTGTGCATAAACTTGCAGAATTTTACACAGCTGTAAGTATGCACAAAATTTTATGCGGAATTGTGTACAAAATGTGCATAATCATGCACACGCTGTACATAGTTATGCATAAAATTTTGCTTGATATTATGGCTGTATGAAATTCTGCAAGTTTTATGCACAACAAAGTGCATAAGGATTTAGTGTGTCGTTCGTAAGATTTTAAGGGTGTAGGCCCTGTACTACTTGATTTGTTTGTATTACTGTACGGCATGGAGACGTGGGAGCCTGGACTGGTTCCTTTTTCCGGATTCCCTATCGGGAAATTTACTCATAGTGCCAGTGTGCAGCTAATGGCAAAGTAAGCAAAACATTTTACGGGCGACCTATGTGACAACTCTGTCGATCCAAATAAGCACATTGTCTACTTTAAATAAAGTTTACATGGCAAGTTTTCATTTATTAAAGTCCATGTACACTTTATTTAAAGTACAAAATGTACACATTTGAATCGACAGAAACTCTGTATACCGTTCAAGGTATGAGTCTACGTTTGTACCTGAAAATGTACACACTAAAATCTCTTGAACTTACAGAATACTGTGTTCTGTACACACTTTGTTTTCAACAGTAGCTGCCATTAATTATCTGAGACTCATGCGGCCGACACTTAAACGTTTTACGTAATAGCACATGGATTATGTAGGTCTATACGCATACATATCTCGACGTAAAGTGCTACACGGATTTATGTACGAAGCCTCATGATGATGCAAATGTGGCGCATAGTTACGTAAAAGTTTTGTACGTAAGTTACGAATGCACATAAACACACGTCACTATGTATAAGAGTGAAGTGTGCATGTATTTAATATCCCGAAAGCTGTTGTGTACAAACACAGTGTTGTTTTCCCAGACTGTGTGAATTTTAAGTGAAATCTAGTGTTTTCTTTTGTTTTAACTCGCTGTGATTTACTGTGAACAGTGTACAGAAGTGCTGTTGATGATCTAGTCCAAGTACTGTGTTCTATGGTTTAATACTCCAATTAATAAATTGTAGCGCTATTTACGGCATTGTCGCTGGAGTATTCTGCAGAACTTGTGTGCCACGTCTATCCTGATTTTGCTAGGCTTTCTACACAACTCTTTACTGGGGGTTTGGAAATTCCTCCGAAATCCTCACCACAAGCTACACTTTTCTGTTACCGTTGTCTAAGGCCAAAAACGTTTCACATTATTAGTAAGAAGATGCTTCAGCTGACTCACTCAAAATTTACAATGTGCTCCCTCTTAGTTACTTTTGCATCGTAATGAAAATTTCCTGTTTAGGGGTACGCATCTCTGCCCTCCTACCATAAGTCAGTGTGAGATTCCCACTGTGAGAAATTATCGTTATGGTTACAGGAAAATTGTCCATGCAATAAGCAATCGTTGAAAATTTACAAACCCTGCGTATCGACTTAAAATCGGATAACAGGCAAAAACGGGAGCTACTACCTGTACGACTCGTTTTGTAAATGGCAGATCACAAAATTTATCCTAAATCCTAAATGTACGAACACATTTTTCGCAGAGCCAGGAGTGACCGATGCGCAGGCCAAGCCGTTGCAAGTAATATTTGAACGACCAACGACTTGCATATTGAGGCCCCGCCCTTGCTGGCCTGACTTGGCAGCGGAACGATGCAAACAGTCCCCTTTGGCGGCCAGGCCGGGACCGGCCTAATCACTTCAATGCATCGCAGAGCAAAGCAGATCACCTTCAATGCCTGGGAGGTACTGGTGCTGCCATCTAGCGGCGTGGCCGGCAACTCCCGCGGAGAGTTTGCCGCGAATACTCCGTTCACTTAGTGCTCAGACCGCTCTTCATAGCTCTGATCGGACTGTTGCCATACTGGAGGAAAACATGTTCTGACATATGGCTGGC